CCGCTCCCCAGCCCTGCGCCCCTCCTCGCCTAGCGTGCCTGGCGGTGTCCGAGGCACCGGCGAGGAAGCCGGGGTTTGGGTTAGCTCTCGGCTTCCTCTTACGGGGCTTGGGATCCCTCATTTTCCACACCCAGTAGATTTGCTTTAGATTGACCGCCTCGGACGTCCCCAGTACCGGGTCACAGGTGGCACGTTGTCCTGAGGCGAGCGTGGCCTGGTGGCATCCGTGACCGCCGTCCTGTCCCAGCCTTGGTGGGCCTGTGGGGGTGGCGGGCGGCCTCGCTCCGACCAGGGGAGCTGCTCATCAGCCAAGGCGATGCCTCCGTTCTTCCCGAGCGTAGAACCGAGTCGCATCCTGCATTTGCAACTATTTTATTTTGATCCGCCATTCATTTTAGGGGTAGCAGTGCCAGCTTGAATGCCTCTTCCCTTTCAGACAGCAAGGACTTGGCAAACTTAATGGTTGCTTTCATTGTTTCTAGGATTAAGTGTCGCAGTTCACTGGCTCTGTCACGTAATGCTAGATTGAGCCAGGTCTTATTAGCCGTCTTGTATGTGTGTACCTTCACCTTGTCCCAAACAGGGAGGTTCTGGATAGGTGAGATGTGTTAAATGAAGTTTCCCTGATCAGAATTGCTTGCTTTCGTGGGTTTTATTAAGTGATCAAGTATAGGTAAAGACATTGTTTCTGTTTGAGGACATAATTAAATAGAGAAGACCTAAATTCTGCAGAGAAAAGCTGAATTTGGAAAGAAACAAATAGCACAGCAACCCTCAGCTCTTTCTGTGTGTTCAACACTTGATTCTACAAATATTTTTTCTTTCTGGGGCTGTCAAACTCCCATTTCACCTTAGTAGAAAGGGATTTCAGTAGCAGTGGGCTCACACAGCACCCTCCACTGAAAGCTCTTAAAACAAATTACAAACGCAACGTACGAAACCTCCTCAGTAAGCCTCATCTGACGGAGGAAAAGACAGAGGCAGAGACAGAATGCACTCAAGGTCACAGAGGAGTTCTCCGGCACAGCTGGGAAAAATTGGCAGAGCCGCGGTGTCCCGACCTCGGTCCTCAGCTGCCAGACCTTGCCCCTCCGTCCCAAGGAGGCAGCCAGAGCGAACCCAGCCCTGCCTTCAGGGAGGGCAGGGGAGAGGGGACGGGAGGCACCTGTCCTCTAGCTCCCCTTGGTAAATCTGGGCCTGTATATCACTCATTTAGTAAACAAGCTCTTTAATAAAGAGTTTTTCACTGTACGCAAGGATGCCTGGAGGATGACGCGGTGTTACTGTGCTGTAAAGATGAATGATAAGGAGAACTTGGAGACCGATTGCGATGATCTTTATGGCTCCCCCCGCAAAGAGCTGCCTCTTTTTCTGATGCATGCTAATTTATAAATAGCCCCAATTCCACTACTTAGAGATAGCTTTCATTTCTCCTTGTACTTGATGTATGTGACAGTGCAGTGGAGAGCAGATGTTTGTACCGGGTTCTGCTCCCATGGAAATCAGCAGTAGAAGGCTCGGAGGCAAGAGGTGAAATAGCATCGGGGTTGTCTCCCGTCCTCAGCTCAGAGCTCCTGTTACAGCCAGTCTGAAAGGCCAGGAGACGCCCTTGGACTCAGCAGCGTAGTCTCCAGCGCATACCTGTGTCTCTGCTGGAGATGAGCATCCTGTGGTTTGCAGAGTCCAGTTACAGCTAAAGCTGGGAAAAAAAAAAAAAAAGTATCTGTCTGCATGAACAGAAATTTTCCTCAATTGCAGGAGCCGGCAGAGGACACTGCTTTGTCTCTGGCTCTGAAAGGGCTGAGTGATATTTTGTTTGTTTGTTTGTTCCTTTTGCTGCCTTCTTCCTGCTCCACGACTCTGGTGGCACCTTGGGCAGAAGAACAGTCGCTGTCCCTTCTTTTTTATCCGTATCCGTCAGAGGATTTTGTTTTCCACATTGTTTGCTGCTGCTGAAGCTGTAGCAATAATGCTCCTGTACAGCTTTACTTAAGGCAGGGAAGAAACAAAACCACATGACAAATCGGTCCAATTTATCACAGCAACAGAAACCTGCGATTCAGCTAAATCGCCCCCACAGGCCAGCTTAGACGGCGTCAATATTTAATGACCTGAGCGCTGCTGCCTTCGCAGCTCCGGCTTCACCACTGCCCCCCCCACGTCACAGCGTGTCCCCCCAGTTTGTCACTCCGCTGGTGGGGCAGGGCACCCCCGTGCTTCCTCCGGGGTGAGCAGAGTCTGCCTTCAGTGCTCGCTATCCGAAGCGGCACAGCCCAGACCTGCTGGGCACGACCAAATTCTGCCCCTTTTCCTACCTGGCTGCACCCCCTGTGCTGCACACGTTTATGCCCGAGTAACACCTCCCAGCTTTCTGGGCATGCCCGTGGTCTGTGGCAAGCAGACAAGGAGAGACCCATCTCAGCTCACAGCCTCTCCTACAGTCTTTTTTTGGGTGATCGTACAACCCAGACAGGACTGTTCACCTGGTAGCAGGCTGGAGGTGGCCTCTGTTCAGCTGTCTACGTCTGTTCCCATTATTCAGGCAGGAGTATTTTATCCCAGAAGGAGCTGCAGTGAAATAAATCGCCAGCAACATGTCCTGCGTGGGGAGCAGGAAGAGCTGAGAAGAGGACGAGCCAAGCTAGGCCAAATCCCTCCCACCCATGAGCAAAGGGGGGCAGCAGGGGAGCTCAGGGATCTCTTGCTGGGCCCAGGCTCCAAGCTGGCCACAGCAGCTGGCATCCGAGAACACCTCCCAGCTCCATCCTGGCACGCTGCGGTGGCTCCTTTCTGGCGTGCTCTGCCTGGGACAGTGATGGGAACAAGTGGCAGGTTATACGGTTATATGTGGCCACAGGCACGTTCCCTCATGGGTCTCTTGCCTTGGTTTGCCTGGTCTGTAAAATGGAGATGACTGAGATCTCCTGCTGACAAGCACAAAGCAAGAAGAGGCATTTTTATTTACCAGGGCAGTGGTGGGGTGGGGGAATTTGCACTGCTGGGCTCATAATAAACGACCCAGCAACTTGAATTCCTCCAGCAAGACTGCACCTTCCACCAGGCTCTCTGTTCACTTAAAACCCCCCATTATCCAGCAAATTGCATATTCCAAAGGGGAAGTTCATTATCCACTCCAGTGGCAGTGAGTGGCAGAGGCCATTACCATTACAATAAATGGCTTTTTGGTAAGATGGCTCTATAATTCACTTGGTATTTAACACTGGCCACGGGGGCTCATCTCTGCATCAAATACATTAAGCAAAGCACCTTTGTGAACATCCCCCTGCGCTAAAGAGCAGTTATAATGAGGGTGATTAGGAATAAACATAACAGCAGAGGCTGCTGTCTCAAAGTAGTTTGGGTCAGCGGCAGAGGGGACTGTGATGTGCACCGAGGACTGACGTGTTTGCGAGGGAACGGCTGGCTTGCTGCAGTTCGCCCGGCGACGCTGGGCCTTTTCCAGTGCCAGAGCTTGGCAGCTTCCATCCCCTGCAGCGCGTGGTGGCTGCCCCCCAGCCCCTCCACGCTGGTGGCTGTAGAGCACCTGGCTGGTTATGGGCACGGCCTGAAACCAAGGGCAGGGCTCTGCAGAACAACATGTGCCTCAACAGACACATGCAAGTGCCCTGGCAAATACTTAACGGATTGTTCCGCTTGTTAACTCGCCAAGAAAGGAACTGAGAGCCAATTCGGTGCCTTCCAAATCACAGCTCTGTTAAAAAAATTAACATAGAGCACAGCTCTTCCTCTTGGCAGCTGTCCAGTTATTAATTTCAGTGTATCAGCTGCATCTGAATGGGCTTGGGCTTCTGCCCACTATTTCTGTTTATTTGTTTTCCATTCATCTCCACTAAAATTAAAACTTGAAACCTTCTAGAGAGAATGGAAAACAAACACGCTGAACCAGTATTGCTGCCCACATACAACTGGCAGAAATCACTGCACTTTTTCTTCCTCTGCAGTGAAGCAAGATCTAATTCTTAAGACTCTGTGGGCCTCTCACCTAAAAAATAGCACAGGCACCTACCGCACTAGCTGCAGCCTTGAGTGCTCCTTGCTTTCTGGGCACATCGGTGAGCAGCAGCCTTTGGCCCTTGACTGGAGGTTTTTATTGTGTACCGGCTCACAGTGACTGCAGAGGCCCTGCGCTGGAAACCCTTCTGGATTAAACAGCGTCTGCATGGTTTAAGAAGACAGAGCTGATGGTCCAGATGGTCACACTGAGGCTACAATCCCATATAACAGTTTGGACTGCGCCCATGTTACAATGCACTGCATTGGCTGTGGAAAGAACTGCGTGCTTTTAAGGGAAAACACATATAAACCAACAATATTGGCATTTTTTTCCTCCCCTTGCTTTTTCCCTTGGTGCTATCAAGAGGCTGGCGAAGGTTCCTCAGGCCAAGTTTTTCCTGTGCTGACCAGAGTTAGCTGTTCTACCCTGCCCTAAGCACCCAGCCTGCCTAGCACTTGCTTGGCTTCTTATTGGCGTCTTCATTTGTTCTGAACCCATCTTTATCTCAAAGCACATCACCCGATAAAATGTTTTGCTATAAAAGCCCAGGCTTTTACAATGGAGTGATTCTTTACGCATCCAAGTGTGAATAAGAACTGAAAAGCCAAAGGTTATGAACTTACTTTTAAAGTGATAAAAATTACAAAATATCCTCATTTACAACTACAGTATTTAAATCCTATTTGCAACAGCACAATCAATAGGATCTAACTGTTGAGTATAGGAATAGATTCTTAATAGGATAAGTAAAATGCACTAAAATAAGGCTTTGGTCTTTTTCAGTGCTTTGTCTTACAACTCAAGTGTTTTCCTTCCTTAAAAACACATGCAAGTGAATGCATAGTGCAAGGTATGAGTTTGGCTGAGTAAGAAATTCTTCTGCCTGTTACCTAAAAGGATTTCTTTCCACCAATAAATAGAGTTCCCAGTTCTGCATTTAGGGCATCATCAGGAATGACATCATCCTCCTCAAACTCATCTCCAAGCTTCTTCCACCATGGCCAGCGACTGTATTTCAGCATAGTGTTGTGGGATTGTCTTGCCTTGGTAGCTACAGGGACTGATCGACTCATAAAGACATCGAGATCTTTTTCTGTGGTCTCTGCTAACCCTGGAGCATCTGTAAGAACAAAGAGAACAGTTTTCTGTATTTTGGTTTTTTTTAGGCTGCAGTTTTATGAGTATTTCAAACAAAAAAAGAAGGAGCGCTACCCTCCCGCTTCCCACTGTCCTAGGTCA